TTCAATGCCTCTCGCAATTTTTTTGAACTTTCCAGTTTTTTTTTCGTATGACTGGAAACCAAAAATCAGTTAACAACAACAAAAGTCTAGTTTGGCGGGAAGCTTGTCAATAGTTATGTGCACGAGTCTTCAATTAGATCTTTGGCCAATCGCTGGCAACGTTCGATATCCAAACAACTGGTACCATCTTGAAGGCTCTCGCTATCGTTACAGAAACTTTTGGAACGACTGACCAGAGCGTATATCATGACCTGCTTCTACTCCTTCCAGGCCTATCTTGAGCTGGAAAAAGAAACCCATGTAAATTGCTCTTGAGGTTGGCCATATTCGAGGCTTTGAAAAAAATGATAAAAAAAATAATTTAGAACCAGACTGCTCGATGTAATAACAAAATAAATGAGACACATATCTTGCATTCTCCCAACATCGATGTACTTTCTGAGTTCACTTCAATGGCTTGGTTAGCCCCGGGGTGCCGGCAAAACCACTTGCCGGCACATTCGACCAACTGCCATAGTCCTCCTATATACCAGCATGGACGCTCCGTACAAGAGCCAGGTTCTATCACGCCCATTCTGTCGCCGTGGAGTGCGCGGAAAAACGACAAAAGGGCACGTCGAATTCTAATCGATGACACGTGACGTTGCGCGCCAACCAGTCACGTGTTACGGTTGCGGTCACTCACCGGACTTTGTAATCCCGATAATTTCTGAAGCTGGGTCTTCTTCGCACTCACGGTTGATATTATGGGTAGCTTCAGCTACCACATAATATTGATTCAAATTCGTGAAGCGTAACGATAACAAAATCGTGGTTACTCATGTTAATCCTAACGTAATGTGGAAACATAAAGAATTAATGAAACTTATGGTTAGCTTGGAAGCCGTACCAAGAGGTCAAAAAAGAAAGCGTAGAATGATGTATGAACCACCACAGGCTTCTCTCGCACACCACTAGAAAACACAATGAACATGTAACTTAATGAAATTGGCAATTTTGCGACACCTCAATGCAAAATGGTAGGACATTGAGGGGTTATCATTGCGGAGGAAATCTTACACAAATTATTTAAGAGGAATGTCCAATTTTTGCGTTGAAGGTGGTGAGACGTGAACAAAATGGAACACCTCCTTATAAGCTACTTCATTTGAAAAGGGAGTTCACACCAATTAACACCAACACGCCAATTTTGTCAGCATCAAGATGAACAAACGCTGATTCGAAGCCTGCCTACTATGGAACTGGAGCTTCAAGATTAGCACACTGATAGCGCTCAGTTTTAGACTGGGGAAACTGTGTGTCACTCTACGACCATGAAGCCCACGAATGTGATCTCAGGAGAGATCACTCATCGCAGTATTGCTCGACGAATTTCAGCGCGATGTTCACTTCCTCAGCAGAGCAATATTACAGGTGATAAAATAAGTTAAATATTGCAATATAGAATCACGGCAACAATTTCAGAGAATTCGCTAAGCCCCACGAGAACGAATTCGATGCTATGGTTCGACTTTTGCCTCAGTTGATGGAGGGACTATGGCATTTCCTAAAATCGGTTGTTTCAGCGATTTCTTTCGTACTTAGTCCTGTTTATAATATATATGTGCATTGCGTTGGCTGGTGTAACTATTGTGAAGATTGCATTGGCTTATACCTGTAAGTATCAAAAGACTAGATGAATACGCATTGAGAGAGAGGGTTAGAGTTTGTTCCGCTGTTGCAAGCCGCAAATCATAAAAAGCAACTTATGAGGAATTGGTGGATCAGGGTCGACCGGACAGCCGGTACCTTTCTCCCGTGTATATTGGCAAGCTCCATTACACGCACACTTTCGTGCACAGCCAGATGTATTCACATCACAAGACCGACTAATCTTGCTGCACATTATTGGCCATGTTCTCTCCTATCCACCCACATCTTTAGCGATCAAACAGGGAAGCAAAGTATAACAATGTAACCTCTGTTTCGTGCAGCCAGAAATCCACGTGGCACACGTGGCTAAATTCTCGATGAAAAGGTGACATCACGTGTGCTCAAAGATGTTCTTGAATCGATGCCACGTTAATGCCACGTCAATTTCTGCAATTGCACAATTTCTGGTCTTCTGAAGGCGAGGTTACACTAACGGAACGGCTACACACATGTACTTCTCAAGGCAATGAACTCAATGGTTGGAGAGTGGAGAGGTTTATGACGTCATTGGATCACATTGGTGACCAGACCGCTAAGCAGGCCGGGGTTAGGACAGCGTAACATTATGAATCTATGAATGATGCCCGCTGACGTCATCAAATGCTCCATCTTCAAGCAGTGTCTACCACCTAGAATGATGCGAAGTGTTGCCTGCCCCTTTGTTTTATGCCATTCACATCTTCAGGGGTAATAATACAGGGAAAGAATAATATTACCAGGCTGCGTCATAAGTAATTGCCGATTTGACAAAATTTTTCAAAAGTTCACAACTTTCTTTTGAACCACCTTGGTTAAGTGCCTATTTACCACAGCTGTCTACAAGTGTCCTCTATCTATCCGCAGTGATGGATACCTCTCCCACAAAACATCCACTGATTCTTGACCTTCGACGTCAATGTCTGTTTTGAGGTGATCGCCAACATCGTAGTTTTTCTGGTTAAGAAAACGAGCAAGCAACCTCGCCAAAGGATTTCCAGTTACTTCAGTAATACCTGAATTGAACAAATCAAAGAGGGGAATGAGATCATGAAAGCGTTCGACAACTATTGACGGACTGCTTTAGCGTAGGTGTCCAATAGGGAAGGTGCATAATTCTAATCTCCATGCCACCGCGCAGTAGAATATATAGATACACCAGTTTTGCTCCGCCCGCTATCGCGCGCATCACAGGGTAGGGAGGAACCACGGAATAGCAGCATGACGTACTCCATTAACCACCTCACTATTGAATGTGTTATACCTCCTTATACCCCTTCTCTCCGGCGCATGGCAGCACCATGTTCTCCTCCCTTTCTCCTCTCCCCCTCCCCTCTCCCCCCTCCTCCCCTTCTGCTTCCCCCTCCCCTCTACCGCCCGCCGACTCCGGCTGCCCCGGCAGCACCATGTAGAATGAGGCTGAGTGTGCTCGTTCGGTGTTTTTGTAGCCATTGTGGGTGTTATCACAATCACCACATCAGGTTA